TTGCCAAAGAAAATCCGATAACATTAAGGCGTTTTATTCATATTATTATCTCCCAAATTTGAGCTCCTATCTTTTTAAGGAAAACCCCGAAGCTAAAGTGATGGTTATCAGATAAAAACTGGCTTAAATGGCTAAAAATGAAGTAATTACCTAAGTATACTCTAAATCATTTATATAAAAAATCTGTGGAAAAATTAATAAAAATAAGTTCAAAATTTCTTGACAAAACAGCCTAAAATTCATTGAGTAGGTATTCCAAACATGTTGGGATACATTGCAAGTAAAATCAGATTTGAAATTTCAAAAAACGCGCTCAAAAAAAGATTTATTTTTTCAAAAATGACACATAGCCGCTAACATATATAAACTTAAAGTCAATTGTATTAAAAAATTATATTATAATTTACAAAGTACAATAGCCTATATTTTGCAATAAAGATTACCATTTGACCCTTTTAGAATTAATAAATATATAATACATTATTTTATAGCAATATTATATACTGACAGTGTTTTTTTATTCTTAACTAGAGTTGTTAAAGTAGCGAGCTTAGCGCGCTATCTTTTTTGGTAGCTATAGCTAATAGCGGCTACTTTTTTTATAATTATTTAATTTTTTAGCATGCTACTTTTTGAAAAAAAATATAATAAAGGTAAGTATAAACATGAAAATTTAAATATAATATCATAATTAATTGTAATTTTTATGATTTATTATTTAATTTTGAAATTGAAATATATTTTCAATTTGTAATTTATATCATTTGTATTATGAATCTAGATCACGTGTTAATAATTTAAAATGTGATCACCTATTGGTATCCAAATCGTTGAAAGTGATTCAGACAATGATATTAATGAAATGGAAGATACCAGGGAAGAAAATGTTCTTAAAAGCTATAATACAAATTTCCCATTCCCTAGATTTGTTCAAATTAATTTGTTTAAAATGTAAAAAAAATATTTCCTCAAATCAATCCAGTTATAACCTCAAGAAACACCTAAAGGTAAATTGTCATTTTAACATTCTAATAGTATTTATTATATAAGACTGTTCATGCCAATAGTTTTAAGGAAATGGAAACATATAAATAATTTTGGTATAGGCGACTCTACATCCAAAAAGAAAAGACTAATTCATTTCAAACCAAATTAATTAATAATACAAATGCCAATATTTCTCAGAAATTGGCTGATAAAGTTATTGTTGATTTTATAATTGATACAGTTCAGCCAATGTCCTTGGTTGATAATCCATCATTTACCATGATGATTAAAACCCTATCCCCTGGTACAACAATTTTATGTCGCCAGACACTAATGAATAAAATAGCAGATAACTTTAAAGTGATGAAAGATGCTCTAATAGTAGTTATCAGAGATATCATATATATGTACCACGGCAGATAATTGGACATATAACACAAGGTAAAAACTTTTAAATGCAACTTACCATTTTTATTACATAAATTTTTTATAATCAAAACTAATTTTATTTTAATATTTATAAATGTTGATTTTTATATATTTACTATATAATAACATTATAAGCAAAAAAAACAAATTTGTTTCTAAATTTTTTTTATAAAAAGTGGCTTAAAAAGTAGCTTTGTAGCTAATAGTGCGCTATTTTCTTGACAAATAGCGGTAGCGCGCTACTTTTAAAAGTAGCGATTAACACATCTGTTCTTAACCCAGTGTCTACATGAGCGGGAGGGGTAGGAACAGTTTGCATCCTATTTATTGGGTGGGGGTGAGGGGGGTAGGCTGCTTTAATGGGGGTAAGGGGTAGCCTGCTTTAATGGTGGTAAGATTAATATTTTGGGGGGTTATCTATTAAATTTTGAGATGAAATAGGACAAAATTTATTGCTGTAAAAATTAATACTTTTAAAATAGAATGATTATAATACAATTCATCGACCAAATCTATATATTGCAAACAATCATACACATTGTTTTCCAAATAAAACTTTATGCTATCATTTCAGCAAGCTCATAATGCCATAATAATTAATTCATTGTAAATAATGGAGATTTTAATTGAATTTATTATCTAAAAAATAAATTCTTTACATTCACAAAATATGGATAGTTGTTAGTAGAGAAAGATTAATTTAAGTTATCCTTTATAAATTCTCTGAAAAAAGTATCAATAAATTTAAAAGTTAAAAATAATAATAGGGAGACACCGCCACCGAAGGTGGTAAAGGTGGGTAGGCAAAGATTTTTGAAGGGGGTTTGCATCCAGTGAAAATCCTGTCATGTAGACCCTGTATTAACCTAATAAAGATAGTTTTCTATGGCTAGTAATTCAATAGTTAAATGCTATTTTTTTTAACAAATTGTTTAATAAATTTTATAATTAGGATTCAATCTAAATAATTAATAAAATAACTCCTTACAATCTTAAAATATTAACCCTTCAATACTCTGGTGAAAAAATTCGAGTTAATACTCGGGTGTGGTTTAATAGACCCCAATTTCAAATGCATATATCTCCAGTTATATTCATTATTTAGATTTAATATTTGGATATAAGATAGAACTAACCTTAAACCTGATAAAATAATTATTTATTTTTATTTCTTAAGTTTAAATTAAAAATGATGAGGAGTAATATAATTTGTCCTAAAATTTTCTAAAAAAAGCTAACTTTTTTTAAATTTAAAATATTAGATGAAAAAATTAACTTCATATAATCATGATAATTCATAACATGGATCTTTATTCTTCAATATAAAAATAAAAATTACACTAATACATTCAAATATAAAAAAATATAGAACATACAAATTTACTCTGGTGGGGTCTCACAAACTCCAATCAGTCACAAAATGCTTATATCTTAAAACTACTCAACCGAAATGTATGAAATTTGGAATATAGATTCTAAGATATATTTGATGAAGCTACTGAAAAATCCAGATAATAATATTTAAGTGTTTTTATGCAATATCATTTCTAGCATGCCTGTGGTTTCATATACCCCACCGGAGTATTGAAGGGTTAATTATCTTAAAGAATATATATATATACTAAGCTTATAATTTTTTTTAACAAATTATATACAATATACAAGCCTAAGTTTTAGACTGAACCCAGACCAAGGACGCTTTTATCTTAAACTGGCACTGATTATACACCTTTTAGATTCTGTTGAATAATAAAAATTAAACTATTAACTTTGTATTGACATTTCCTTATTTTTGTATATTTGAATAATTGAGCTTAACCAGTGGCGTAGCTAGGAATTTTCCTTAGAGGGGGTCCATATATATAAAAGCCTTTAACGGGCCTTTGGCCCTTTTGCCCAGCCTTTGGCCTGGCTTATCTTACAAATCATAACCATATCTTCGATAATATATAATAAACATATTTTTTAAATACATCAATAATATGTTATTATAATTTTGTAGATTATTCTCAATGACTTTATAATAATACTATCCAGAATAATTTCAATAGTAATATAATATCCTTGCACAAACATCAAAATCAGAAAAATATAAATATTCATGGTATTTATTTGATATAAAGTCACTTTTAAGTCATTTGAACGTATAATCTAAAAAAAATTTTTGCCTGGGAGGGGTCCAAACCCAAAAACTACCCCAGTAGCTATGCCACTGAGCTTAAATTTTTTTTTATAATCGTTATTTTTGTAAAGCATTCAGATTGTACAAAGATTTTTTGTATATAACCAATGATATTTTTTAGAGTTATACATATTTTAGAAATAATATAATAAAATTATTTATCCACCACTATTTACCAGATTCATGAGCTTCGACCTTGGCTGTAAATGACAGTGACCACTTCACATAATTAATCATAGTTTCTAGAGCTACACTTTCTTTTAAAATTTGTAGATGGGTGAAAAAATTCAAAATATTGATCATTAATTATGCCCTGGTTTATTACCTTTTAAAAAATCAATACTAATTTTAGTGCAATTATAATTAAATTAATGATAAATTTAGGAGTTAGAGGTCTGCATTGGGCGGGGTTTGGGCCCGCTCCTACATCTAAGTGGGCGAGCGGGTGAACGAGCATAATTTTTTTAAGAACGGGTTGGGGGGAGGAGGTTTAAATTTTTTTTTAACTATATGGGTTAAGAAATTTAAGCATGGGCAAGCGGGTTAATTTTTTTTTAATAATAATATTAATATAAAATTGTTCTTATGAACTTTTTTGGATATTAAAAATTAAAATGCCCTTTTTTGGCATCAAAAAACCTTTCTTTTAAAATAAATAACTTTTGTAAATTTAAAACTACTTTGGTGGAAATGACAAGAGATTCACCAAAGCTATCAAGATTAACAAGAAAAATATTGGCAATTCTTGCAACTAGTGCTTCTACCGAACGAAATTGTTAGAAGGTTTTTAGATAGGACTTGGGTTAAAATTTTAATAATGGATGGGCAGGTAAAAATTTTTAGACTAAAGGGCAGGTGGGTAAGAAATTTTAGACAAATGGACTGGCTGGGCAGTCAGGTTAAATTTTTTTTAAACATTAGGTGGGCAGGCTCATGATCCAAAAGCCACCCAATGCAGACCTCTATTAGGAGTATTATAATTAAGTTTTGAAATATTTGTAATTAAGGGTTTTATTAGATAAGATTTTAAATTATTCAAATCAAAGATTTACTCACACATCCTAGATAAATTTTTTAAATTTAAAAAAATGCTGCTAAAAATTTGAATTTACGGAAATGACATTAAGGAATTTTTCATAAAAAAGTGTTTATGCACATTTTTAATTGCTAGCAAAAATGAGGCTTGTGCTGAAACTCAAGTAATTTTTTAGATATTTATTTTCAAATTTTTATGTCCCCTTTTCAAAAACTCTAATAACATACTGAGCCAACCCCATTCATACCCATTATAAAATCAATCAACTTTAGTTTGCAGGCCAAAGTGATCATTTGTCATTTAAATTAAATTAATTCAATTTGAAAAATACCATAATCTTACAAAATTTTATTGGGAATAGTGCTAATTTTTATTGGTTTAAAATTATATATAGATAAACACAATTTCCTAAGGGGGAAATCCCCTGTAAAATTTAATAAATAGCTGATATATTATAATGTTTAAAATATTAAACTAATTTTTAACCAATAATATTAAATATAAAAATTTAAATTAAAGTGCCAGTGTTTCTTTAAATAATTTTTTCATAGTTGTACTCATAGAATTATCATAGTTATTCTGATAATTTATCTGTAAAAATAAAAATATAATTCAGATAATTATATATTTTACTTTATATAAATATGGTTGAATTTGAGTATAACTAACATCAAATAGAGTGTTTAAATTATTATGTTGGGGGGTATTTGGTGTGTAATTGTTAGAATTTATAGTTTCAATAATAAATATAATATTTTGAGCTAATTTGTCACTCAATCTTTCACGATTTTTCAATTTATCTAGCAATATTTTGCAAATTTAATAATTTATGTAATAAACCTTCATCATTTTGTGAAAATATTAAATTAATTTTAATAGTCCAAATTTCCCAAGGTATTGATTCAGCAGGAAAGGGCCATCTTGCTTGTTTCTTTTGATAAAATGTTAATGATATCTAGGATATTTTTTTTTATTTAAGATTATTAATGATTTTATACCCCAGCATTGTTAATAGCTTTATTTAATGTCATAAGATTAACAAATGGTTTTATTTCCTTCTTTAAGTTATGATCTAAATCTTCACATGCACATCTTACCTAGAAATATATATATTTCAATTATGTAATTTGATTCGTACATATGTGATATCAACAACATTACAATCAACATCTACTAATCCAATAGATCCTATTGTATAGCTTTGATCATTGTATTCAAACTATTGTAAATATAATATTATTGTTTATTTATTTTACTTTTCCAGAAGATCGATGAAATAATAAAGTATGAAAAATACCTAACAAATCATCAGGACATTATTTAAAAAATTAATAAACTTAATAATGATTCTTCAACTTGATGCAGCTCTATGTCCTAGGGTTAAGTATATTAAATATAATTAATTAGAATATATACCAATTCAATGACATGAGATCTAGCATTCATTAAATTAGATTTGGGTCCAACACATGGAAATTACCGTTGCACAGCCGATTTATTTGACTTCCTATTGGTCCTATAAATGAATTAAAAATATCAATACGCTTTCAAAAATAATATAATTTTAAAAGTTTTCCCACCAAATCATATAATTTATATTCTAAATTCAATGTTACCTACAACCAGAATATATCCCAAATACAATAATTGCTAATATAATAATCTACAACTAACAAGTAATTATTATTTTAAAAAATTTAAAGTTAAAAGTATTTAAAAACTGACAGCAAAGCATTTATATACCCAAATAATACCATATTTGCTAATCAGGCCATCTTGTCCAACAAATATTTATTTCTTACCTTTTTTAAATTGGATATTTTTTCAAAAGTCTAATCAAAATAATCCAATATGATATCTACATATCAGTGACGAAGCGTCCATAGAAGCAAGGGAAGCATTGCTTCCCTTGAAATTTTTCTTACAAAATTTTTAAATAAACTTAATATAATCTTTGTACTATGCTAAATAAACTAAACTGACAAAGATTAATATAATTTTTATAACGTTAAAAAGATTAATATAATCTTTGTACTATGCTAAATAAACTAAACTGACAAAGATTAATATAATTTTTATAACGTTAAAAAGATTAATATAATTTTTATAACGTTAAAAAGATTAATATAATTTTTATAACGTTAAAAAGATTAATATAATTTTTATAACGTTAAAAAGATTTATATAATTTTTATAACGTTAAAAAATTAATATTTTTTTACTATATTAAGAAATACTATTATTTTTACTACGTTGAAAAAAAATATCATGAGGGAAGCAAATTTAATATTTATTTTTTTTAATAAATAAAGAGAAAATCATGACATGGTATTGTGTAATTTTACCATTAAAAAATAAGCATTGGGGAAGCAAATAAAAAAATGCTTATTTTTTTAATAAATAAAAGAGAACGAAATTTTTTTATATAATATTTTTTTCCTTATTTTTTTAAAATAAAAAATTTTTCGTTTTTAAAATCCTTAATAAATGTTTAATAATTGTAATTGTAATATTGAAAATTTATTAACATTATCATTTAGCTTAAGAAATTTTGATGCGAAAAAGTTGATTATTGAAAAAGTAAGACCAAAACCAATTTTACAAAACTTAAAAAAGGAAATCAAAACTTGCATCTGTAATTTTTCTATCGATAAATATGGAAAATATGAATGGCTCCCTGGATGTGAATTTTCTAATTCTCTATATTGTTGGTCATGCCTATTATTCCCAGAGGAAAAATATGTTTGGAATAATAAAGGATTTTTGGATATGAATAATTTTTCAAAGGCAGCTAAACGGCAAAGAATCAACCGCTCATTTGCAGATGATTCAATTAAAAACTTTTGTCCAAAATCATATTGAAAATATGATAGATTCGATGCGCAAAATATCAATCGAGCAGAATTCTAAAGTCAAATCAAATAGAAAAATATTGATCAACTCTATATGTTTACTTCGAATTCAAGAGCTCGTATTCCGTGATGATGATGAATCTTCTAATTCAGTAAATAGAGGAAATTATATTAAATTAATTTATTTGCTCGCGGAAGAAAATTTGCCATTGAAAAATCATTTAGAAATAGTGCAGTTTTTATTGGACTATCAAGCAATATTCAAAATGATTTGATTAATTCTATTTCATGTCTTATACCAATAAATATTAAATTCGTCGAATTGTTAGATATTAGTAAATGCCAAATAATCAAAATTTCCCAAAATATTTATTAGATAATTTAAACGACACTTATTCTCAATTTTTCGACTTACACAAGCTGGAAACCGAATTAAAGGTAATATTTCGGGGAATTTATAAAGAAAAAGAATGTTAATAAAATACTTGAATATTTAATATGTACCTATTTGATAAAAAGTTTTAAAGAGTTTTTTAAATTATGCAAATTCATCTTAACTTTGGCTTCAATAACAGCAAGTGCACGAAATTTTTTAATCTTTAAAAAGAATCAAATCTTATTGCAGAAACAGGATGAGCTAAAATCGATTCGAATCTATCTTTGATTTCGATTGAAAAAAATTTATTAAAAAATTTAAAATCTAGCGATAACTTTTATAATGCAGTACTTGATCATTTTACTCAAAAACAAAGATGAATACCATTTATTTATAAATCTTAATGTTTTTATAGTTTGAGTTTGACTAAAATAAAAATAAAAAAATTTTTTCATTGCTTCCCTAGATTAAACTTGACGCTTCGTCACTGCTACACATATATCATATTTAGACACAAACTTGAAATTGCCCGTTAACCTATACAAGAATCAGTGTCACAATCTCCTATTTCCCTGCTCTCATTATATAATAAACACATGCTACCATTAATTGATGAATTTATTATTAATTTACATAAACTATAAAGTAATATTATAGATTTATTCCAATTTTTTGATAATGTATCTAAAAAATTTTTAATGGAATCTAATGATTTAATTTAATATCACAATTTTAGTATAAAGTCAAAAATGATTATAAAATTACAATATAAGTTATAATTTTCACAATTATTAGGTATAAAATATAAAGTAAATTACAATTATATAAAGTCATTAATTTTTGCTGTCTTTTAATAATTGAGATCCAAGTTCCTTTTTAAGTTCAACGTTATAATTGAGAGCAAAATAGGATAAGTCTATCCTATGCAGGGTTTCCATGCCCCCCCCATCAACGGGAGACTCTCGCAATTTTTTAGTTTACATGAAGATATCTCACTCCCACAAAACTACCGCAATTGGGAATCTCCCGCAAAAATCTACCGCAGTTTTTTAATTTCTTCCGCACAATTTCTTTTTAGCATTTTAACGTTTTTATTATATAAATAATAATTTTGAGACACAGTAATTGATTATTTTTATATTTTTAAAATAAATTTTAAATATTTATTCTAAAAACATGTCTAGTTTGTAAATTTCTTTCTATCCTGTTTTATTTTTATTCAATAATAAATCAACATCATTCATTTCATTCATATTTTATCATTTTCAATGTGTTTATATATAACATTATAGGGCTTGGCGCTTAATTATCACGTTCAGGTTAAATTATATATAATAAAATAATATTATACTTATTTCAATGATACTGATAATTATTTTATTTATTATAGTTCAATCACATTATTAATAATACAGATGCAACTACAGTTGCGGAAATCATATAGACCTATCCTATCATTACAATATGGGTCGAACCTTTTCACCATGATATTTAACGACTCCAATATAAGTTTAAACTTTACTTGTGGTAGAACAAAAATGAGCAAGGCTATCACAAATATTCTAATCCAAGAAGTCAATATAAGACGATTTGAAAGGTCGACATCCATATACAATTTTAACAGATGCATCTAATAAGGTAAATATTAAAACATTTCCCTTGATCCTTCATTTCAACAAGAACTAGTAGAAAGCCCGTCAAAAATGACGGGGAATGAGATTTTTATGCATTTTTTACGATAGATGTCATGCCAGGTTCAAGCTCACGATATTAGGAAGCATCCAAGATCTTATAATTTTAAAAAAGTTTATCAAGTGCAGCTCAACCCTTAATAATTTGTAAAAGATATTTCCAAGTCAGGTGCAAGCTAATATTAATTTTGAGGTTCCAAGCCCAGTCCTACCCATTATAATTTTGAAAATTTTTTCTCGCCTCGGAGATAATTAATTTTTTAATATCATCAAATGAACGGGAAATATCTGATTTACCAATTAGTCTAATATGGAAAAAAAACATGTAAATTCCGTATTAAGGGAAACTGGGAGGACTGGGCAACCACTTATGGTCTCGCATTTCCGAAATTATTAGTCAAAGAATTTGATAAGGGATATATATATTTTTATGTTAAGTAAAAAAAAAATGCTATCTATTCAAATTACAAAAATGCCATTAAACACTAATGAAACTTATATGCAAATTATTTATATATTTTTTAAGATATTTTTTATAAAAAATAATGAGGATTAATTATTATGTATTTGATAAAATTAAGAGCAAATCCTTGTTGATATTTTAATTTTTGATGGAAAAAGCGACAAAATAAATCTGGGCAGTCGTCTGGAGTGGAAATAATTAATGCATAATTTTATATCATTTAGGGTTATAGATGTAAGTAATGACGGAATAACAAAGCAGTGTACAAAACACATTACGTCCTGATAAAGATGATATGCCTATGCCTTGGTATACTGGTAAAAGAAGAACGCAAAACGATATTTCTGTCAATGTCAGCATTGGTATCCCCCTCTAAAATAGAATCGTGAACCACAATGTTAACTCAACCATAAAACAGTTGTAAGTATTGTTATAAAGGCCACGACAGAACTACTGCATATTTTTCCATTAATAAAGTTGATGAAATTGGCCGTACTGTACATTCTAGTTTGAACATTCCTCTAAATATTCATGAAAGTTTCTCAGAGAATCGAATAAAGTAATATTTATATTAACACCTAGTGAAGTGAATGATATTACGGAATTAAATGCTTATATTTGTTAAAAAATAGGCGGAGGTGGCATAGGGATTCCCCTAGTGGTGATAGAAATATAATTTGGAGAACTGGGCGAAAATAAAATAAACATAGATATAAAACATAAGATAAAAAAAACAAAATAAACTTCCAGATGAGTTCTTTTCAAGCGTAGTTCTTTATTATTTTGTCTACCAGTAACTCTAGAACGGGTAAGGCGTTTGTTTAATCGTCATTATTTTTTTTGCTTATCTTTAATAATAGATTCATCATGTTGCGTAGCAATGTGAGGGATTAGGGTTAGCCTAGACAAATAAAGAAATAAGGCAAAAATATAAATAAACTATTGTTGAAATTAACAAACATTAAAATAATGTAAACCAGTAGATGGGTCAATATTATATGCATATTTCTAGTAGTTGGAGGGCTATCATCAAAAAAAATTTTTGGGGGACTTATCAAGCCTATTATGATATTCTAAATGTTTATTTTGCATTTGTTCATTATTAATGGCTGATATATCAATATTTGAACAATTATAAAGAGGAAATAAGATGAGGATAGTTTTCTAAAGTAAAAAAAAAAAAATTCTCAAGTTAATTTTATAAGGTAGGATTAAAATAAAATACCATTCGGAGAGACCAATTGGCAAACTTTTAAAAAAATAGGATCCTTGTGAATAGGTATAGAATAATTTAAATAATATATAAATACCGTAATATGTATTTTTTTTGGA